CAAAACATTTTTGATGAGAGCTAAAATGCTGTTTTTTCATCAAAGTTTATTCTACATTTGATTGCTGGAGCTATGTACCACAGCAGAGTTGTTGACAACTCCAGCAACCCTGTGCCAGCAACGCACCACACCGCAACATGCATGTTTTTTGATGTGTTGCTCCGCAACACGTAACAAAAACCAGCATCAGACGCTGTGTTGCAGTAAGTACCACAACAATAAAAGGTGAGGTCAGGTTGCCCAGCGCCTTGACCCTTGCGCAACAGCACCAAAAAACACTGAATTGTAATTATTTTTGGGCAGCAACACAACAAATGTTGTTGCGGCCCAAAAAAAACATTGATTTGACAGATCTTGTTGCACGGCGGATCAGGCCACAACCTAGAAATTGATTCTATGTTGTGGTGTGGTCCGCAATGCAGGCGCAGCACAAAACATAACACCTGCGTTGCTGGCCCAGGGTTGACTCCAGTCTCCAACATTGGTGAACAGATGTAGAACTCCCAAGATTTGGTGTGATTTTCAAAAAGGCACACCAATCCCTACCAAGCGTGGAGTGGATAATCTACCAAATAAAGACCAGTGGAGGATGTCTACGTACTGCCCTCCTAAAACAAGACAATCAGACAAGGGAACTCTATTGAATCGAGTACTGATAAGAACCAAAAGAGAAAAGTAACTGATTTAATTTTCAAAGAAAAGGCACAGTTTTTAAGATGAAAAGCACAATTTTGATTAATTCTCAACACTTATAGTTTTACTAGAGCTCACGCGGGCAGGCCCGCCATGGGGACAACAAAAATAGGGTTCACAAATTGCCTGCAAAACTTGCGGCCACAGACTCCATCTTGGACGCTAACTCAACGTTAGCTCAACAAATTATTGTGTATGATGAGCAACAAGCACCTTTTAATCAACACATGTTTCTTCCTTACATATGCCTACATAGATTGAAAATTCATGTGCTTGTATGAATTGGTCTATCTTCCTGTTGTAATTTGGGTCAATGACAAAGTTGTATTTGCCATTCGGTTCTGAGTTCTACATTGTGCCACACTGACATTTGGTAAAGTAAAGCTTACAGTGGCTGAATTTGGACAGAAGACGGCCAAAAATGTGGATCAAGTCTTCCTTTAGGACAGAGTCAGGATGGTGAGAAAAAACTTCAGGTGAATGCGCAACGGTTAACATCTTTAAAATTGTGTTCACAAAAAATAATTTGAAAGGTTTAATTGAAGGGAGAAACAATGACCTCAAAGGGCAATTTGTATTATATGGGGGATACTATGTTGGCAACAGATGAACTTCATGATTCACAATTCTGGATGAGAATGAAACTTGGGAATTGGGAAGAAAACTTTACTTTTGCCGGGTAAAGAAAGCAAAGAACAAAGGGATGGAATAGGAAGTTGATATATCTTCATCAAAAAGTGCCATAGTCAAATGAAAATGAAACAAAAAAACAGTCGGTTGCTTCCAAGATCAATCAAGTTTGTGATGAGTGCATTTGAAAGAAATTCCACAGCTTCAATATAGATGCTTTTGTTGTGTCGCATTGTCCTAGCATGAAATTCAACACCCGGATGAGGAAAGGTAGTATGGTTGTCAAGGATGGATAACCTGCATATATGATGACAGCAAGTGTCAAAGAAAATTTAGACTTCTTGTTAGACAGGTAGGGAAAAGCATCAAATTGCACAACTCAAGTAGGACTCTTGATGATGTAATACAATTTTGATAAACAGAAATGTCATACAAAGGGAACATAGTACAAAAGGACAAATTAACGTAGAGGAAGATGAGACATAGTTATAGACAAGATTGCACATTAGGGAAACAATGGGTCACACAATATTTGTAAGACTATAGTTTGTGATGCTTAATTTGGGGATTCAAAAGCAAAAGCTCAGTTTGTGATTGATCAGAATTGACCAAGAATATAAGCACATATAAGCACACCAAAGGGAAACAAAGAAAAAAGGTATGGGATGCTGCAGAAATGGGTTACAGGGGCAGTGAAAAAGTATAAATAGAAGGGGCTCATCCAGCCAAAAGTGAAATCCCCAAGCCATCCTTGTGACTACACCTTAGAAAGTGAGTCAGATCTGAGCTCTAGCTAAACCTGGTATCCTCTCGCCAAAAGGCTGAAACTCTTTTACAAGTTTCAGTGCTTTTGGGGGGGATTCCAGATTTAGTTTTAGGGAATTCCAGACTGATAACTAAAGAAACATAGCGTAATGTCCTTTTGATATTATTACCAATAGATTTTATATTTCAAAACACTACAACACTAAAGTAAATTTCTCTTTATAGCTATAATAAAGGGCATATTTAAGTGATTAGGTACTATCAAACTAAGTTTATGATGATAAAAAAATGATAATGTTGTAAATGATAAAGAAAAAAGGGAACAACAACACCCAAATCCTTGATTTGATAATATATAACACCAAAACAATGATTAACAACCTCAAAACCATAAAAAACCATAAAAAACCCTCCTTATGATGAATACAGGTGATTTTTTCCTAATACTCATAGCTGAAAACCATTTTTGGAACTACAGATTTTTTTGTGAAGTTGCTCAATTTTCAATTACTATAGCTCATTTGGTAGCCCTTGTGATACTGATCATTTATCACCCCAATATGACCTATTTCTGAGGTGGGATGAATAAGTTATTGGGTTGTAGAGATTGAGAAAATAAGCTTTTGTCATGTAAATGTTGCTTTACATGTGTATGTAAGCACCAAATTCGAAATTCACACCATTTTGTTTGTTTCCTGATAAATTTGTCACCTCTATTACTATAGGTTTAAATTTTTTTCATTATGAGATTAAATATGCTGCATTGGTCGAGCTATCACCCATCATGATCTGACAATTTTTGACATATGTAATTAGCTGCAAATCTTCATTTTTGATGATTTTTGCACCTTCTCACATCTTTTCACGTCTAATATTGATTTTGTATTCTTCATAAGATAATTGAATAATAAGCCAATCATAAGAAAAACTTTGAAAATCATTATAAAGCTCTTGGAAACCAATAGATCCCTCAATGACAGCATAAAATATGATTAAATCCCATAGTACCCTTGTTTACCATCCTTGAATTTCCTTCTTTCTTGAATTATTTTACTCCTCTCTTATTAACCACATGATTAAAGTTGTTGCTGACTGATATAATTATTTTCTTTAATATCTTAACCTTCTTGAACCCTCACACCAATTTTCAATGCCCTAAAAACCATTTTCCAACCCTTTATACATATAATTTTGCCTTTTTCTTGAATTCTTAATATTTTATTCTGCTTCTTTCATCCCTTTCATAACAGATTCCATTCTTTTTGATATAAACTAGATGTCCTTCTTCATTACTTACATTCTCAATATACCTCTTTCATTCATTCTTACTAACTTGCTATTTTTATGATTTTTTGACTTTTTCTCTTCTGCTAATTGTTCTCATCAACTTATGTAACTAACACATAATTAAAAATTTAATAAAAAAGGATTCTTATGCACCTTTAAGACCACTACTGACCATTAACATCACTTCTAAATTTGATCTTGACCAAAACACAATTCTACCACATACTGTTGTTGTATAAAAGTTTGTCTGCAAAAAAAAACCACAATGGGGCAGAAACCATTTTTTTTTTTATTTCAAACCAACTGTATTTTGAAATTTGGATTGATTGATTCCAAGATGATTTTGAGAATAAGCAGAATTAGGTCTCAAGACCTTCTTGGAAATAAAATTGAACACGAATGAGCCATAAGCTTAATTTCAAGCTTGGCTTTCCAAGTTTTCAAAAAGAAGCACAATAAAACATTCTCAGCTAAAGGTTGGCCCGTTTCGCACTCTGATCCAATCTGTCAACCCCTTCCCAAATACTTGTTAACTATTTATGAGTAAAGGAAATTGAAGGTGATATCAGATGAACCCGCCAAGGTGGAAAATGTCTTGACTCATCTTGAGGCAGGTTTGAAATTCTTTCCAAATATTGTGCACTTGATCAAGGTCACCACAAGCAGTGTGTACTTTGTCCAACAGAACAAGTGTGATTATTTGTTTTTGTAAAACTATGGGATTTACATACTCTGTGTAAACTCCATATTGCTTAGAGTTCACTAGATAGCATAAACTTGCGATGGATCAAGTCCTTATTGAGAGTGAACAAGACAGTCAAAAATCAGGAAAACCCAATTGATTGTCATGGACTAATTGCAAAATTTCGATACACAGATGGGACAGGAACCCAGTGGCCTGTTGCAGGCATGTCTGCCTGTTCTGTAGTGTACAAAAATCCTACAATATTGACATGCTTACATCTTGACAACAAGACATGCACTGCCAAGTTACAACAACTTGGTGCAAGGAAAGACTGTAGGATATCATTGAACTAGGATTGCTCATGTTTAGGGTTGAGATGAAACACAAGTTCAAAACATGGGCCCCAAATAACAAGATCCTCAATCTATATGTATGTATGTATACACAATAAACAAAATCTTTACAGTTTAATGTAACACTAGATTTTTGTTTTGGGAAGAGTGAAGAAACCTGACTACAATGAGATCCAAGCCGCTGTTTCTCCAAACCCTTGATCAACCAATCAACCAACCAGTTCAACTTCCAGCACTCTTAACTTTCATGTTCCCATTTTTTTGTCAGAGTCAGTCTATTCAATAGCAACCAAAAGAGTAAAAAGAAAAAGAAATTTCATAACCATTTGAAACAAATTATCTTTACATGTGTAGGCTCTGAAGAAACTGACAGTAGACTCACTCATTTATAAACTCTCCAATAAAACTTGCTTCCTTCCATCGAAGAAAAAAATCCTCCTTCTTTTGCATTCCTTAACCATGATTTTCGAAAAAAAATCCAACCTCAATGTGCTTTTGCTCTTGTTTTTGTTTTTGTTTTTGTTTCTTCAAAATTCTCCTCACCTTAATTTTTGAACCTTTCATCAAAATTTTCAATATTTCTTTTAAAAAGTTTCCAAAAAGTTTCAATCCTTTCCATCAATTTAATAATCAAACAACATATATAATCCCACAAAAGAAAAACTGAATCCCAATAACTTCCATTGAAAAATGAATTGATAACCAATAAATATATATTCCTTGGGAAAAAAACATTATACATTGCTAATATCATCATTCTTTAATCACAACAAGAACATAAATACTAAAGATCAAACCAAGAGGATATCTTCCAAAGATCAAAGAATCAATTTTAAGTAGTAGGTTCATCGTCCAATGAATCAAGTCTAGACCTAGGTCTACTCGAAACCTATGATTAACCCATCAATCCAAAATCAGTACTAAACTCGATCCCTCCCCCCGAAAATTTAATCAAAATCACTTACAGCTTTCTCATATCGACTTCTCCTACTAGAAGAACTAGTAGTACTAGAACCTCTCTCTTTCTGCCTTTCTTTTTCTCTTTCTTTTTCTTTTTTATGATGATTCGAATTACTCATCAAACTCATCAAGACATTCCCTCTTCTTTTTTCTTCTTCTAATTCTCTTCTTAAAATCTTTTCAGCTCCTTCTGTTTGTTCTAATCGGTTTTGTAATTCTTCAATCTCATGTTTAGCTTCATACAACTAAAATACGAATCAATGAAATCAAGTTAGAAGAAACTCTGAGAAATCGACTCAAAAGTCTTACTTCAAGATATTGTAGTGAAAATTGATCAATTGTTTTTCTCTTTCACTTACTTTTCTTCTTTGTTCTTCTAATTTATTTTGGACTCTTTCTGCTACTCTTTCAAATTCTCCTTCTTGTTCTGTAATTCGTTTTTCAAGTTCAAAATTCTTGATTTCCATTTGAATTAGATCTTCATTTAATCTAAATCTCAAAAAACCCACTATATAAGTCTCAATTAAGGAAAAAAAACATTGATGGGTTGTAATCAAACTTACCGATTTCGTTCAGATTGTAATTCTTTCAAACATTTTTTCAAAGACGAATAATCCTCTTCAACTTCCTATTGATACATCATACCACATCATTTACATACCATGCTAAAAACAGAAATATGAATCACTTTCAAGAAATGAACATACATTAGGTGGACTTTCAGAAGTACGATTGTGTTTAGATCTCAGTTTTCTTAATGTATCTCTCTCCTTACTAACTTCTTTCAATGCATACTTTAAGTCCAAAACTTGATTTGATAAGTCAGCTAAAGCTCTTGAAAGCGCTTCGTTTTCACTATCAAAACATAAGAAGAATTAGATAAGATTGAATGTGAAAGAGTTTTGTATTGATATTGAACTAACCAAGTATCTAAAGATGTTAAAGAGTCAAATTCATCTCCTGATAGATGATGATGATGATTTGGACCAGGTCGTAGTAGGTGATGAGATCGAGATCGGTTTGAGGCATCGGATACCGATCCAGCATACTGGTCTTGATGATTTTGGCTCCAAGGATAGTCTCCGTTCAGTGGATTCAAATGTGAACGATCCATATCAAGATGAGCCTTTTCCTTCCCTTTCAAAGTAGGTATATGATGTTGTTTGGGTGTATCATGCTGATGATTCAAAGATACAATAGGTATAGTTAGTGTCTTCCTGGGTGTTGACCAAAGTCTCAATTGACTCAATAGCTCACCAGATCTAACATATCTTTTTGCATAAAGGCATCAGTTGGTTGAGCATCCTTAACCGGAACGTAAAACCCGTTCAAACCCATAAAGTTTTCTAATCTGGTAATCAAAATCTTAATCTCTTGATCCCTAAATCCAACTAATCGTTTCAAAACACGTATCTCGTCATCTTTAGATTCTAATTCGTTTTTAGCTTCTTCTCTTAAAGATTCCAGCTCTTCGGTTAACTCAACAATTAAAGTCAGTGATCGCTGGTTGTTCCCTGCTGATGATGTGCTTTGATGTAAGTGACCTGTCACTCGATGTTCAGAAGTTTCATGAATATGGGAACCTGAATGAGATAGACCACTAGCATTGAGATCAAGAGCAACAGAAGGTGGTTGGTTATGAGACTCGTCGAACAAAGAGAATGCAGTAGAATGATTACATTCGATGGCTTGATGATGACCTATTGAAAGTAGCCAAACGAATCAGACGAACAACCGAAATAGAAATCGATCAATAACCGTCACTCACTTTTCATCAAAGGGCTATGAACATGAATCCGACCATGATCCACGATTGACCAATCACCACCATTAACAGTTTCAACTTTCTCTAAAACACCTTCCATGACTTCTTTACTAGCATCTAATTGTTTTTCTAAATTACATATCTTTCTTCTTAAGACTGTATTGACCGCTCTAACTCCATCACGTTCGTCTGTTAATTGTTGTTTTTCTCGATCATGTACTTGTTGTAAATTGGATAAAGTATCGACTGTTTCAAGATGTCGTGATTGAAGACTTGAATGTAAATTTGTGAGTGATGAAATAGATTTTGTTAAATGATTGATCTACCAATCCAATCAAACCAAAAACAAAATCAGTTACAATCCTTTTTCTTCCTTTCATAATCGGTTTAACTCAATTCACTTTACCTTTTGATTTTCCAACCACTTTTCACGTTGTTCACGAGTCAAAGAATCTTGATCGGTTACCTCACTATTACCTGATTTCGTTATACTTGTTTGTCTATGAGAATGATTTGATTGAAAACTATCTAACGCGTCATTTTCGGATCGGTCAGAGATAATCAAAAACGAAACCATAAACTAATTTTAAGATTTGATAAAGTCAAAAGATTTAAATACCTGATACTAATTGTTCTTCTCTTAAATTCTTTAATTCTTGAGCTAAGACATGTATAGCATTGATGACATTTTCAGGTAAAGTTGATAAACTAGCTGCTAAGATTGGTATATTGATAGGTTTTGATTTATTGTTTTGAGATTGGTTTGTTGAAGTTAAACTTGAAGGTAATAATGGGATTAATGAGATTGCTAGTGTTGTTGGATCTGGTAAAGTTGAAGTTGAAGTGGAAGTGGAATCGGATTGAGTTGACATTTTTAAGAAATTGACTATCAACCAACAACAACTGTGACTGTGACTGTCACACCACTCAACTGAAACTCTTCTTCTCATGTCATTCACCCCGTTCACCCGATCGGTTCTCGGGTATCACTCTCTCTCATTCGGGCCGGGTTCGTAGCCACTGGCACAATCGCATCTTGATCCCACACAGTCGAAGATAAAGGGTCAATATTGAAGTCATCATCTTTTGTTTTGAAGTGAGTGATATGTAGATCAACTAGAATTGTGCATTGGAAATCTTCCCGACTACTATTGAGTCACGAGACCAAGTGTTGATGGGAGATAAGCAGGACATCAACAGAGAATTCATACCTCCTCAAGACGGATTCTACGTTCTACAAAAAGTTAGGTCATCATCACACTCCTGGGATGAGTAACAATCGTAACACATTTAAGAAATATATACAAATTTCAGTTCCTGTGTTAAAGGGAAAAAAATCAAACAAATCGGTCAAAAAGAGGTTCGGTATATTCAGAAGAGTGATTACAATCACTTTCATGAAATTCCTCTACTTCTTCAAACATAATCTCAGGCTTATCTTCATTTCCAATCCAAAGCTTCAGAGTTCCTGCAACACCTTCACCATCAGTCACCATAAATCCACGAAACTTGAAGTGCGGGTTGAGATTGAACCTTGTGAGTGTTTCGAGGTTCTCGTTATCTTGTGAGAGCATGAGAAAGGAAACAGGGTACAATTTTGGGGGACATCATTTAGTCATTTTATGCACTGACTGGTGAAGTGATCCTAAGGGACTACAGCGCGTTGAAGTAGACCAATAGCTTACCTTTGGTCCAAATCGTCTCTTTACGTGATTATCAAGGAGCCTAGTGCCGGAAGCCAAAAGCTAGAGGGAAACTTTTGATTTCTGTTGAGTGAGTTGAAATTACTCTCATTGTGACAAAGGTCTTTGAAGCAAAGACTTCGAGGGCCATGACACCATATGAGAAGAGGGACATGTAATCTGAACGAGGAATTTTGGGTTGACACAATACTTGGATGTGGCACTAGAAGCCACATTGATATGTATAAAGACACCTCAGCATATGTAACTTTTTGATATGGGCAAATTAAAGGGAATGGGTTGACACCTCAGCATATGTAACTTTTTGATATGGGCAAATTAAAGGGAATGGGTTGAAACCCGCACTGAAGTCAAGTAGGTTTGTGAGTGGGCAGCAACATCATAGCACAAGTCCCGCAAGATGAGATAGAGAATTTTGTGACGATCCTCAAAATCATAGCACAAGTCCCGCAAGATGAGATAGAGAATTTTGTGACGATCCTCAAAATATGAGCGATAAGCTTAACACAATGACAATAAAATAAATTCCATTTCCAATTCCTAATTTTAATAAATCCCAATCCTAATTCCAATTCCCAATCCTAATTTTAATAAATATATGAAACCACCATTACATGACATATCTATCAAGTATTCCATCACATAAAGGATTCATCAAGATATTTGGCATATTCAGAAGAATGAGCACTATGGGTTGAATGGATGGACCGAGAGAAAATTTCAGAAAAAAAGATGTAGTCAGTCTCTGTCCTTTGTAAATGATTGAAAAAGATTTCAGAAAAATAAAGTATACTGATATCTTACCTTGCGCCCAAACATTCTCTTGCCTTTAGATTCATCCCTTCATTCTTCCTCGGGCTCCTCAACAATGGTGTAGAGCACTCTGTAGCGCTGCGCAGATAACAGTTCGCTCTGTGATATAAATCGAAAGGGAAAAGTGGTACAGGAGAAATAAGTAACTAACGCAAGAAGATTGATAATCGAATGAAAGAAGATTGATAATTGGAATTTGGGAACACATACCAATGGTTTCAAGAAAGTTTTGCGGGGGCAAACTTTCTTGATAGTGCTCTTGATGATAAGGTTCGGTGTTCGATGAGGGGATTTGACACTACCATCGGGGTTCATGAGCAAAGGTGGGCCGGAGTAGATGAAACGAGGTCTTGGTGCAATGTGAGAGGGGTTGGAAGTCTTGAACAATTCAAAGTGGGAAGATGTAAAGGAAGAGAAAGAGAAGATTGGAAAAGGATATGTCAACAAGAGAAAAGAAGATTGATCCAGATAAGTGAATGGGTTAACAGTACATACCATAGAATTGTCACCAGATACGCCGGAAAGAACGCTTGAAGATGTGGATCTTCTTCTGATACGAAGGGGACGTTCGAGAGTTGGGGATGGGAAAGGTTCCTCAAGGTTAAAGATGGATAGTCTAGCTGGGGAGAGACCACCAAATTCTAATTCCAAGGGGCTTCGCTCGCTACCGGAAGCGGCGCCCTTGAAAGGTAAAAGAAATAAGAGTCAGAAAGTGAAAATGGAAAGGATGAAACGATTAGAGGGGTTCAAAAAGTGAGAAAAAGAAACCAGTGCTCACTGGATTGTCAGTGTTTACATTGTTGGTGAACACTTTCTTGACTCTACAACTCTTGAGATCGAGGGCAGGAGGACGCATTGTGATCAAGACGAGTCCTTGAAGTGAAGAAAGAGGTTGTGAGAGGGATTTAGGGATGGGATTTGAAATGAGGCGGAAGGAATCGAAGGTGGAGTTCGGAATCGTTGTTGTGTGTTGTGAAGAGATCTCTGAGTAAGAAATGCAATCACTACGAGCTAAATAATGACTGGGATCAGCATCACCTTGGTCGCATTTTTAATGTTGACTGAACATTTACAATAATGCTAGTACATCATTTTACCCTTTGTACTCAAGATAATAAAGCAAAAACTGTACGGAATTTATCATGTTGTCTACTTCGCGGTCGTTAAGAATCAGTTCACGCGCGCCCGTTAACCTTACATTCTCATTTAATGACTTTGTCTCGATCCATCTAAGTGTTGTCTATGATGGATTCAAAGTCAAGTTTCATTGTTTGACTACCACATACGTGGTCATTGTGACTGTCAGTCCACTTCTGCTTCCCCATATTGAGTGCTCATTATTTCTGCATTGACGATACTACGATTTCATCTATCTTTATCAAGCTCCATCTGAACGCGACAAAGAAGAAGCGATTCACAATTCATTGGCCTATGATGAATATGCATTCCACGAGTATTGATATGTGGCGACTGTATTCATCATGTGGGTTAGACCTTCTCGACTTTCCCGCATTCTGAGCGTCAATCACTTCAGGATCCACAAGTAACAAAACAGGAGTAGTCCAGAAATTCCTGCTACATCATCAGATCAAGAAATCATTTCGTTCCAGAGAAGGATATCTGCATTCTTACTTGATGGCCCTGAAAATTCAACACAAATCATTTATATATTGGCGTTTTGAACATGAATAATATTCAGTTCACGATTGATAACACTTGGCTATCAACCTTCGCTCAAAGAGCTCTTTTGGAATCGAGCCCTCTAGAATTCCCGTGGAACAAACCTAGTCTCACCTTAATGTGGTCTGGGTTAGTGATTGATTTTATAACCAAAGGTCATACGAAGGCTTTTGACAATGCAGAGTGCTCAGGTATGATGTTTTCAAGAACGCCTTGCAAGTTCTTGTTTTCAATCTCCAGACAGACAAGTGAAGCATGAAGATCGAACCCTCTAGAGAGTCTGTGTAACGTGTCGTTTTCCGCATCAATTGTGATCTGGATAATTCTTCGGCTGCTCTAGATAGTCGCGGTATTGAGTGCCTAGATGAGCAAGACTTTGGTAATCAACTTTACATAGTCCAGTCATATGTTGTCTTCCAAAGGGAATGATGACATAAAGACATCTCTTCTCTGTGGCCCTCCTATAAAGTGATTTGTGATTATGAATTGCACGCTTCTTCGAGCCGACTTGGCCAATTTTGACTTTTCATCTTTTTACTTCAACGCGTGAGCAAAATATGTGCTCGCTACCTCCAACTCAAGCATGAACCCCACTGCAGTGCTTTGGCAGTGCAACAGAAGTTAGCTATTGCAATACGTATGCTTCCTTCAAGCTCGTAATCTACATCCAAGCATAAAAACGTAAAATAAAACTCTCGACGATCGATCATCCGGCAACCCTCACAAATCGCTTGTTTACCCTTAAGGCAGTGGCCCCAGGTATGATCAGATACATTAGTTCTTCAGAGCGCTCATACATCGCGCTGTGGACATAGGTATGTAGTCGTTGGCTTGTCGGAAAGCCGTTCATTTTCTATCAATGGCTCATAGCCTTGCGCGGCACGAGGCTGGGTTCCAGGCGTTCGATCTCCTATTCAAGTTTCTCGGTATCCATAAAATAAGATGAAAGGTGAGAGTCGATCATGTCGTTCGATAGTCACAAATGGGCAAATCTCAATATAATCTGACCAACCAAAGACTTGTCATGCGATGTGGCTAATATTTGAGGGTATTGAGAGTTTTCAACCTTTTCGCCCTAAACCTCCCCTCGGGCCTCTCGTCGCTTCCCTGCGTCACAACTTGGGAGGGACTCCCAAGGTCAAGATTCCCTTCACACGTCAATCATCATACATCTATCGTCAGTCAGCTCAATCTCATCAAATCATCATAACATCGCTCAGAAACATCGATGCCTCCTAAACGCCCGCCGGACATCGACGAGGGTGGCCAAAACCCAGCCCCGCCGAAGAATCAGGTCCTACAACGATCGAGCGAATCGGATTCCATGATGTGCGACCTAAGGTCCCTTTCCTCAGGTGGTCCTCAATCAAATGATGCCCTCTTCCAATTCATCATCCGGATGATGAACGGCTTCGAGAACACGATCAACGAGCTTAACAATACGATCAAGGAATTACGAGAAGAAATCAAAGTTCTTAAAGAACGACCTACTTCCCAGACTCAAACTCCAGTCGGTAACCAACCCCAACCCGCTAGACCCACTGCATGGACCAACCCATACCCCAAACAAAAACAGACTACACCACCCAGACTTCCTCCAAAAAACTCAGAAATCAACAAGTTTAAAACTACCACTCTTATTATTCATAAGACCCCGGGCTCCGAACCTTTCAAAGGCATGAAGAACTCGGACATT